GAGCCCCAGATGGAATGTTCCCCCCAAGTAAGAGGGCTAATCTCATAAGAGCAGACATTAGGCTGTTAGTGTAGGACCTGCTAAAGACGGTACATTGACATGGGGCAGGGTTATGCATATACTGTAACTAAACCCCATTATTTTTGCCTAGATTAGGTGTTTTTAACCCCCTAAGGACACAGCTTCAGAAGCTGGAATTATCCTTAAGGACAAAAGCCTTTTTTGCTGTTTGTGTTCAACCGCAATTTGCATCTCTCTCATTTATTGCACCGACACATATTATATATTGTTTTTAGAGGGCAAAAAGGGCTTTAATTTGATGTCATATATACATATATAAATGTTCATGAATTATAAAAAAATTCCCCAAAATTGGGAAAAAAAATTTTTTTTCACAGTTTTGGCAATAATAACAGGTGCACAATATGCCCAGCTTAGGAAAAGTAATTCAAAATAAATTCATTTATGTGTCTTGATTTACAGAGTACATATATGAAGGATTTCAGCTTATTTTAAAAGTTACAGGTCATAAAATACAAGGACTAAAATTTCAATGTGAAACAAGTTTAGAAGCAAGTTTAAAGGCATATTTTGAACCTCTAGCTTGTACCAAGAGTAGTGGTAATAAGCATTTTTTTCTGCTTTTCTGACACGCTAAGTAGGTTTGCACTGTATATTTTGCAAACCTTATGTGTGCTATGGTTGGATAATACTTCATATGTTGCTCAGCTATGTCGTCTAAGTAAAGCAATACCGTAATACCTGTACATTTGCCAGATATATGTAGATGTTGAAGGGGCAGATCTGAGACGCAGCCATTCTTATTTTTTTCAAACTTTAAATTTTTACACTGTGTCCATGTTCCATTTTGGAGTAATTGATCAGGTTGGTTATTCAAACTACCTCACAAACACATACCATTTTTTAAATAATACACCCCGGGATATTTCAGAAGGCATATTTTGAATCTTAGTGTGGGATTTTTTTTTGCTAAGTGTTTGTGCCAAGTGTAGTGGTAATAATCATTTAAAAAATTTTTTTACTTTTTTTAAACTTTATTTACTCTTTAAAACTTTTAAAATCATTATTAAAAATGTTTTCCTTCTGAGACAGACTGGAGCAGTGTTGAGCCGCGATGATCTGGGTTTAACTTTAGTAAATTACGGCAATTTCCGACATGTGTCGCGAAGGGGTTAAAAAACTAATAAAATTTGTAAGCTTTGAAGTTGCTATTTATTTTGATGATCTGAAAAGCGAAATGCGCGTCAGGGGCACTCTTGTGTACACCACTTGAATAATTTTTGTAGGAACCAACAGTAAAAATACATTTTGCCTCGATGATTTCTAAATACGTTCAGATCATTGTTAGCTATGAGACCGATAGAAGCGTTCCAGATGAGGTGGTATCAATCACGATACACTGCTGCTCTATAGCTCATCTAGTAATCGTAGCATTTTGGTGGGAGGTATTTAACTAGGAAGTCTCCTTTTTCGTTTTTTTTCTCTTGAGGAAACCCACGAGATTACTTGGGCGTTAAGGGGTGTGTCTGGATTACTGTTTGATCCAGCACGTAGAACTGTACAGCATGGATGACAAATAAGTAACGTATTACCGATCCTTAGAATGGCTGGATTTAACGTACAAAGAAAGCCAGGAGTCAGGATACCAGAATATAGAGAAGTCAATAAACAAAGCCAAAGTAAAAAACCAGGTAGAAAACTATAAACAGGAACGCGCTCTCGGACAACCACAAGGGAAACCACGACAGGCTGAGAACTGGGCCTAAATACCCCTCCTTTAGTTCTGACCCCAAAGTCAGTTACCAGGTTTCATTTGCATAATTGCTGCTCAGCATTAACCCTTCTGTGGATTAGGTTGCTGCTCGACACAACTTTTCCTGTGTGGACAGTAAATGTCATTAACCACTTTTCTATAAGCGGATGAATACATGACACCAGGTTTCATTTGCACAATTTCTGCTCAGCATTAACCCTTCTGTGGATTAGGTTGCTGCTCGGCACAACTTTTCCTGTGTGGACAGTAAGTGTCATTAACCACTTTTCTATAAGCAGATGAATACATGACACCAGGTTTCATTTGCACAATTTCTGCTCAGCATTAACCCTTCTGTGGATTAGGTTGCTGCTCGGCACAACTTTTCCTGTGTGGACAGTAAGTGTCATTAACCACTTTTCTATAAGCAGATGAATACATGACACCAGGTTTCATTTGCACAATTACTGCTCAGCATTGAACCTTCTGTGGATTAGGTTGCTGCTCGGCACAACTTTTCCTGTGTGGACAGTAAATGTCATTAACCACATTTCTATAAGCGGATGAATATGTGACATGGTGCTCACGAAGGCACAATAGGGAAAGTTTCTTTAGTTCGATCTTTTTCCCTTTTCCCTCTTCTGTCCCATACTACGCCCCTGGAACTCAGTATTGTACTCTTTTGGTCTCTAGCTTACATTCACAGTTACCTTATCTTGATGGGAGGTTTATGACAAGTATATACAGCATAGGATTATATTTGTTTGGTGGTTAGGGGTGCCCACAAAGGCATAATAGGGACATTTCTTCTCCAGCAAGACGTATTCCCCTTCCCCGCTACTGCCTTATCTTTCTGCCCTGCTATTCCACACTGTCATTCGATTAGCTTAAAACCCTACTGTTACCAAATTGCTACATATTTACCCTTCCATCTATACAGTAGCGATTTGCATGAGTCGGCATCCACTATGATACATTGTCGGATTCCAGATCATTTGCAACAGTGATTTTATCTTGGTGACAAATGTTTGACTATAGTAGAGCATACAGGGGGAGTTTATTTTGTTACTAAGGGGAGTCCATGTAGGCACAATAGAGGAAGCTCTTCACAGTTAGAACAATATCCCTTCCTCCTTATCATACTCTCCTTCTCCCCTGTTATTCAGCATTGTTAGCATTGTTATATCTAATTACATCGCTAGTAAATCACTAACATACTCACCTTCTCATTGACACAGTAATAATTATGCATTATTGATAATATACACATGAGTGCACACAGATGAAACAATCTTTTCAACACAAGAGTGTGTTTGTTCCCGGACCACAGGCAGTAATATTTTATTCAGGAGGCTATTTTGCTAATAATACCGACAATATCACTGCCCATTACTGCAATATCTTTTGGACTATTGGACAGTATACTCTCATTGAGAAGGCTATTTTGTCAATAAAACCTTTGATATTACTGCCCATTATTCCAATAACGTTTTGATTATTGTTTTAAATGTTCTATTAGATATTAGTACTATTCTGATTAGTCTATACTCATTATTAGAAGCCCACCAGCTGGTGGACTTCTTTTTAGTAAATACCTAGTAAAAGTTACGTTTTAACTACTTTTTTATCGTATGCAGCATTTGATAATATCAACCTGTTATATTGGTAATCATCCTATTCTTCTCTTTTTTCTGTGTTGGAAACTTGTCCCTCTCTCACCCCCATTCCTGAATCACGGCCCCCCTCCTATGCTGTTGGGTCTGTGTCTTCTGGGTGGAAGTAACCGACTCTTCCTTCCATCACTTCCTGTGGATAAGAAGAAGGCCAGCCTTGCCCCTGATCCAGTTACCAACCTGTGCGGTGTGACTGCACCGGCGGTAGAACCTCCTTACTGATTTTTTTCCTTTTTGCATAACAATGGGGGAACTGAATTGTACCCCTGGGGGTATGAGCACCACAGATTGGTAAACGCTGATCTAGACGAACAGTGTTGGGATTATTTGCCTTGTTAAATGATTTTATTGCATTTATTTTTATTTTGTTTTATTTTACTTTGTCTTTGTTGATTGTCGTCCTGGCTCTCCAGCTGGAAGCTTTGACCTTTGAGAGTTGTGATATGTCTTTTGATCTTAAAGTTTGTAAATGTATTAATAGTGACATACAATATTAATTAATGTTATTTACATTATATACCTTTCTCTAAGATGGTTCTCTGTACAATGTTACCTTATTTGCAGCTTATATTACATCTATCTCCACCAGACATATTGACTCTGTAGCGTTTTGTGTAATTTTTTCCTTGTCCATATCTGAGCCTGAAAGATAGGCTTTGTACACTATTGTGTTAGTGATTCTATTCACTTATGAGGTCGTGGTTTTTAACACGCTATAGTTCTCTCATTATTTTGTATGGATTTATTTTATGTTTTGGGTGTTTTACGTAAGGAAGCACATGAGAAGGTCAATCAGAGATATATTTTATTTGTTGTTGGTGTAGTCATTTGGATATTTTATATTTGGTGACAAAAAAACAAATTAAAACAAATAGAAACAAAACACAACAGACAGATTGCTGCTTCTATATTTTATTAATTCGCTTCCGAACACATAAATCGAGATAATATGAGCTGAATTTTCTAATCTCAGAAGATATGGTCGCTGTATGTTATTTATATTATGATCTGGAGTTTCCTCTGACTTTGATTTTGAATATATTTCTTGGAATTTTAAATTAGGATTACAAGGTGAGAAAGTTTGATTTTTGGAGTCACACAAGATTAGCGAACTCACAGAATGCAGAGAACCAGGAGTTATAGGACTACCACTCAAGGCACATGGTTCTCTATGGATATTGTGTTAAATTTTGGGTTTCTCACCTGCAACAGGTTGGAATAAGAGGTCGTAAGTGACCAGGTAGCCATCGTTATACATGAAGAGCTTGTGGTCGTTGGGGTTGTAGGATAAACTTTGTATATTTTCCATCATCTTTGTGAAACGAATACTAAGGTGTCCTCCTTTGCCCGTCTTTGTGTCGTACATGTAGAAGATCTCCTCTGTTCGTGTATCGAGGGCTCGTGTTGCATAGAGAACACTACAAACTATGAATGCATTGGTGGCTGCAGGTTTGTACTGTGAGGTGGACCACGTCTTTTTTTATTGTAAAGGAAGTTTCATTCAGTTTACTGATGATACAGTTCCCTTTATTCTGCTCTGTGGAATAAATGGCTTAAAAACCATCTTCATCAGCGGCCATGTCAATGTCTTGCCAAGCTGACGATGAGTAGGAGAACTGATTGTTGTATGTGGAATCTGTCAGCGCTAGACGTGTTACTGTGTAGGTTTTAAGGTCTACAGAGGTTTCTGGAGTTATAGCAGTTGTAGTATAGAAAATTATCACACCACCACCTTGTCCGGAGTCACTGGTGCTAAGACTCTTCTCTGCATGTGTTCTGTACAGTAGAAGGTAGGAAGAATATGTGCAAAACATATACATCTGCTGTCCATCTGTTTATAGAGGAGCCACAAAGTGAAATTGCTGATCTGCACCCATTGCAGAGTCCTTGCCCCATCCTCCATATTTGTAAGAAAATCCCAACCAGTTTAGTTGCACCGTAAATGGCTTGCTGATATTTACAAGCCCTCCATGTTCACAGGTACCTGTCAAAAACATTTACCGACATCGTTTAAAAGGATAATTACGTGAGTCAACAATAATATCACACACAAACCATTAATAATAAACATAATAATAATCATTTCACCGTTTTGTTTGTCTTAGAAATCTGTTATTTTTTTCACTTCATTCTTTTATAAAAACACTTTTTGAAATTAAACAAAAATGTTGATTGATTATCAGATGTTTAGATTCTGTTTCTGTATCGAAGCGTATGCCAGGTAATGCCAGGAGGCAGAAACCTACGATACCTGCTCTGCTCTCCTGGACCTATCATCTCTTTCTCCCCTCTTCTCTCTTCTAATGCTGTGTCTGATCTCCTCTCTGACCACCTATCTATTTATGTTCCTTAACCCGCGCATTGTGAATTTCCTTGTTCCCCACTCCTTAGACTTTTCTGATTACTTTTCTCTCTCTATCATTCTTTGCCCTGTCTTACTTTCTCCTCTCTCTCTTTGTGTTCTTGTTTTGTTTGTTATTCTTTTTCTCTTCTCCTTTTGGTCATTATTTGTTCATCTTATCCCAATGTATGTTTGTCCTTTTCTATTTTGTATGTTTTTGTTCCCTCTCCAATTTATATGCCATTCTTTAATTTTTTTATGATATTGTTTCTCTTACTTTTAATTATAGCATATATACTAAACACAGTACAGTATATATTTCCACATTCCCAAAAAACAAAACAATAACAAATGAAGGAAATATAATACAAACCTCCTCCCCCACCCCCAAGAATGCTTGAGAAGTATAGGTGCATTATATTATATAAGAACGGCTAATATTTAATTTATTTAGTGCCTTCAAAGTACATAGCACTGTATGACCTACACAGCACTGTGTACACATAGACCATGATTTTTATTGCTTGTTGGGCTCAGCTTATTTCATCTTATGTATTAAGCCTCTGACCCAATGAGACATCACGCCCTGTCCAACACAAGAAATATACACATACAGATATATGGAAAACAACCTTCTAGTAGGTCTGACTCCACCACTAATGCAAATAACGACTAGCAGCACTAAAAGACGCAACAAAATTCAAGCCGAGGATATCTAAATTGTGATGGCCCAGTGCAAAATCAAAGAGTGATATCAGAATTAATTTTGTGGCAGACTAAGAATATCTGGAATAGGAAATTTTTTGTGTGATTGCTTTATAAAAGTTTTACATATCAGTTATCAATAAGGGAGTGGGGACTAACTGCAAAAAAAAAATCATTACAGACACATTTCTTTTCATCTTTTCATTTATCATTAGCCCTTCCCTGAAGAATGGATTTGATTTGATTTTTGAAAAAAAACAGAGGGTGCAGCTCCCCATTATCATAAGGACCAGCCCCCACTAGTGATGTCCTGAACGGTTCGCTGAACGGTTCGCCGAACATATGCGCTGTTCGGTCCGCTCCCTATGTCATCATTGAGTAACTTTGACCCTGTACCTCACAGTCAGCAGACACATTCCAGCCAATCAGCAGCAGACCCTCCCTCCCAGACCCTCTCACCTCCTGGACAGCATCCATTTTACATCCATTTTGAAGCTGCATTCTTAGTGAGCTGTCCAGGAGGTGGGACGGTCTGGGAGGGAGGGTCTGCTGCTGATTGGCTGGAATGTGTCTGCTGACTGTGAGGTACAGGGTCAAAGTTTACTCAATGATGACGAGTAGGGGGCGGACCGAACAGCGCATATGATCGCCATCCGTGGCGAACCGTTCGGCGAACCGTTCGGGACATCACTAGCCCCCACCCCTAGCTTTCAGTACATATTACAGTGTAAAAAAGAGTTAGGTGATTAACTACTCTACAAGGAACTTTCTTTTGTTTCCATGTTCTACACTTGGTACTCACCATAGTCCACCGGAGGAAGGGGAGTAGCGCTGACATGACTCTGGCATTCTTCCAGTCGTTTCTGTAGGGCTACAATTTCCCTTCGTATAACGAGAACGTTATTCTTGTCGTAGGACTCCAGTTGGTGGACCAAGATGGAAATATTACGGATCTAGAATAGAATTAATACATGACAGGAAAATAATAAATTATTGTACCCTCTCACTCATCATAGACAGTAAAGGTTAAATATACATGCTTCATAAAATGATTATAGAATTAATACAGGTTTATTTAAAATTATTTAAATCAATACATTTTGTAATAAGAGAGCTAGACAGATTTCCAGTAGAACTACGTAGGAATTGGATACTAATTCACAGCAACCAAGGAGAGTGTTAAATGATATTCAGGCTAGAATGGGGGGCTTTTATCTTGGTGGCCTAAAGATATATTGGCCAGAAACCACATGTGGCACACATAAACCCACTAGCTCATTCTCTCCAGTCCTCACTGTTTCCCACCAGGCTGGACCTCATTGTTAAATAAGGATAAGAGTGCACCTGACCAAACTGCCTTAATCTGCTCTCAGTTTACTGTTAGTTTTGTATATATTGTCGTTTCCCAGGATCCTCAGCAATTCGCCCACCACCGCTGCACTCCCCCACTCCTAGATCACTATGTACAGAAAATGATAAATAAAAATTATAATAAAATTGTAACGGACCGTTTTGCACAAAAGGGGAAAAAACCGCTTAGACGATAATCCCCCTTTCAGAGTCAGGCCCAGCTACTGTATAATCACCAAAACTCACGAACCGCCAATAAGTGAATGCTCCAAACTCCCGAACGGCATACAAGGGAATAAGGTAGCACTTCAAATAAGCGAACAGGAACCATACGAATAGCTGCTAGCAGGCGAACAGGAAAAGCTTCCAAGCGGCTTACACTCCTGGCAATCAGTCCTTAGCAGCATACAGTAAATCCCCCCAAAGACGAGACAAGGCTCCGTGTTGAGGGTCAAGCAGTGGTCTGTTTAATGAGGGCTACCTGCCCAGCTTTTATGCAGGTCTCCCACCTGGTGGACACTCCCCTAGGGGACCAAATGGGAGACTGTGACAAGGGACAGACAAGTATACAAAAAGGACACACAGTCACAGTATATTCCCACAATGCATCCTGGCTTCCTCCCCTCTGCCCTGGGAGATAATTGGGAAGTAACTCAATTATCTCCCAAGACAAAGGCAAAACTCCATTACACACGTGGGAACACAAAACCAGCATAATACTTTAAAATGCACAAAGTAACATTTACTACATAAAACACAGACATGTAACATATCCCCAGATAGCTCAGGTCTGAGTGCACATTATTAGGTGAATGGCACTCAGACCACACGAATACAGTTTAATCGCCATGGAGCCAAAGTCTTTACAGTCAGTTTCATACGAATGGGCTCCATGGGATTCCTATCTGGGGTATAAGACATTCACACAAAAATACCGAACACCGGGTCATTCGTGTGCTTTCACCGAACAAGAAGGGAGGTCGGCGGCTTCAGCGGTGTTCGCGCAAAACTGTGTCCGATTTTAGTTCCATGAAAATAGAGGCGAACACCGCTGTTCATTCGTATGGTTTAAAATGGCCGCGACCTCGTGTTCGGGATACGAACGGCGGCCACCCAGCGTTCATCAATTAAGCTGCGGTTAACCGCAGCTTCAGGGAGGTTAATTGCCGGCACACTCCAGCTCCCAGGTGGTCCAGTCATTCGTACGGTTGTTCGGTAGATTGAAACTACCGAACAACCGGCAGAAAAGCACGAATACAGCTTTTCTGCATGGAAAAATAAAGTCTTTTAAAAGGGGGCCATAGTCCAAAGGCAGCAGGCGAGCAACCAGGCTTCTCCAATGCAATGTGGCGAGATTGGTCTCGTCACAAAAATTATTTCTATAAAAGTATATTGTAAAAATGACATGAAGACTGTGTAATGGCAGAGAGGGGCCTGGTCTGCTCAATGTGGTTCCATCAACCTTACCTACAGCTGGTCACACTGTGCAATGTGCATCTAGCCTACCAGTAGCCTACCAGTATCTCTATCTCTCACACGTCATGTCTGTCATGCCATGTTTAGTGTTTATTATGTTTGCTGTATTTTTATTAACCATGTTCAGGTTATATGGAGTGCCGCAATGAGTAAGAGAGCAGGTAAAGTTTTTGTAAAGCTCTTTTGTGGTAAACATTATCGAGTTGCTAGGGTAAACCTTTTAAAGCTCCACCCTCGGCCTCCTCCCTACACTCACAGTTACTTACAGACACATATAGATACACATACTCACATACAGACACAGACGGGCAGACACACACAGACATGCACAACCACACACAGACATGCACAACCACACACAGACATAGAAATATGGACAGGTACCAACACATACACATACACTTACTGGCACACAAAGAAACAGGCATCGACAAAAACATGCCAGATATAGACAAAAACACACAGGCACAGACAGACACACAAAGGCACACACAGAAATAAAATCTTACATGAGTTTGCATAGTAGTAAATCCCCGAGCTCCACAGCTATAAAACATAAAGCATTGTGAGTTTCAGTGAGTTCCACTGTAATAAAACTCACAATCGCTGGTGACTTGTCTTTGGTATCTTCATAAGTTACAGGGCAGGGACAGAAAAAGTATTGTGACTGCATGTGTATTTGTGTTTGCAGTGTAGTATGTGTTTCTAGGGGCTATAGAGAGAGAGAGAGAGAGAGTGTGTGTGTTTAAGTTTATGTTTAGTAGTGTGTGTTTATAGAGGATGCAATGAGTATGAGAGGGGTGCAGTATCTGTGTAGTGGATGTATTGTGTGTGAGCTGGGGATGCAGTGTGTGTCTGTCTTGGTTATGTATCGGGGTGCTGTGTAGGGATAGGGGTAGTAGTGTGATGAGGGATGAGATGGAGCTTAAAATGTTGTTTAATCTACCTATCTATTTTTATTTCTCCCTCTAGTAATATTTGGGGCAGGGAGTAGGGACATTATGCTTTTTTTCACTGGTTGTCCATTTTGTAGAGCCTCTGGTCTCTCTCTTTGCTGGAAACAGACACCATGTAATGTGAGCTCCTGGCTCAGAATATGAGAGTGTTTCCATGATAACTCACAGCAACCATATATCATCTCGGCATCTGGCAGACGGGGAGACCTGAGGCTCTCTGGGCTCCCCCTTACCCACTAAAGTGGGGGGTAACTGGCATGTGAGCGAGATCTCCCCTTCCACTCCTTCAGACACCCCTCTGCATGTGCCAGTAGGGCACATTTTAAGTAAGTGCTGGGCCTGCTGATAGAGGGAAAAAACTTTGGAGGCTATAGAGCCAAAACATTCTGGGCTTTAGCTTCCCCCCCTCCCCCAAACCCCCGGTTGGCGACCCTTTTATAAATATAAAGTGATCACCGGAATAAAACAGTGATCTCCAGAAAAAGTTATTTGTGTGAGGACAGCACTGGAACAGACACCTGAACTAATAATTATTATTATTATGTATTTTGTTATACATTGTCAGAGTTTTTCACTAAAGAACGATTTCAAAGTTAATTTCAAATGTAACTCCAAAGTAACCGAACTGGTGGAATAGCTAACTTGTGTCTCGAATTCAAATACTTTGACCTTACAGTGTCTCTGTCATCCCAAACGTACCTGTCTCCAATCATTCCTCTTCTCTTCCTCTTTCAGAATCTGTTCATTTTACAAGATTTAAAATGGCAAGATTTAAAATTTTAATTTGTCACATTTGTTAAAATACGCACTTATGAATAAATCCCTCGATTTTATTAAAAAAATCCTTATTCTTCATACATCTCATCGTTTAGACAGGATGAGAATTGTGGCAGAATAAAGTGTAGAATTGATATACTTATCTTGTTTTAATACAATGTCTTCAATCTGGCAGACATTCTCATGTTTGTCAGTTAATTTCTGATAGTAATTATAATAAAATAATAAGATTCAACAAGTCAATGGCATGCCTCAAACAGCACACAGAGATGAAGCCATTAATAACAAATGGAGGAATGTTATGTCTCCCCTTGCCCGCCCATACAGTTTAATATAACATCCTGCTCCGTGATATAGCAAGTGGCACCATCCAAATACACCGCAATACCTCAACGTAGAGAGCTTCCACAACTGCGTTGGTCCCATTAAGAGACATTTTCAGTTCCAGAATTAGAGACTCCATCTCTCTGACCTCCAACATCAACAAATTGAAGTCCAAGTCAGTGTAAGAAAGTCCTCCAAGGTTTTCAGCTTCTCCATGTAGTCGGTGACCATGAGTTCATAGCTGTGTATCTGAGGAATTGGGGAAATATAGAGATACTGTGTCTATTGCTGTCACAATTACATGGAGAATTGTAACAATGCATTAATTAATGCTATTTACATGCTCTAATACAGGCTTCCCCATCTCAGCCTATCTATTTCATTCATAGAATCATGGGAGTTGTAGTTCAGCAACATCTGGAGGGCCAGAGCTTGGGGAAGCCTGGTCTAATATAGGAAATGGTCTACCTTAGTGATCTGTTGTTGGACGCTGATACTCAGGTTGTAATTGTAGATCTCGAGGTACTCCATGCGATTAGCCGGGAAGGTGGAATCTGAGAGGTTTACTGTGCAGTGACAGACCCCATGTTCATCCAGAGACCCATTGGAATGCTGGACCTGGGGTGGGAATATGGGAATAATTAATAAACACACTGTTGATTACACAATGCATTGATAAAAAAAAAAAAAAATTCAATAAAATTAACATAATTTGAAGAATTAAAATAAATGAACAGTTTGTAGAGTTTTCCCATTTTCACAGATAATTCAAAATCTTATGTTTAATTTAATTAAATGCCTTTCTATGTAAAGAAAAGCCAGGCTTACAGTGTGCATTGCTGACTAGGATTTGAATTTTTCTGTAAACTGAAAAACTCTGTGTGGGTTAATTTCCAGCTGATTTTATATTATTTCTCAGAAAGTTCTTGTTCCTGAATTCTTTTCTGAGAACTCATCATTTTTATTTTTTATTTATAGAAACAGAATAAATTCAAAAAGTTGTAGGACCCAAACTGGTAACTTTTAATATTATGTTTGCATATCTCTATATTTATAAAAACATTAATTTGTGAGGCGTGGAAAAATAAAATGAAATATAGAAATCCACAAAAGTACATTTTTCAGTACATACCATTGGGAAACAAATATGAAAGAAGCAAATTAAATCCAAGGTGGCTTTCTACAAGGGTCAGTCAAATTATAAAAGATGAGAAAAGGGCATTCATATCAAAGAAGTTGATGGCATCCTATAAAAAATGTAAGCATGCCAATAGGGCTTGCAATCTAAAAGATTAGACTGGCTAATCTTGAAAATGAAACGCTCATAGCCAAAGAGGGAAAGACCAAGCCCAAAAAGGTTTTTTAAGTATGTTAATGCCAATAAGGTTAAAAGAAAAAGTGTTGGTCCAATGGAAAGTGAGATTGGTGATTTAATCAAGGAGGATTGGTTAACATAGTATTGGTGATTGGTTAACACAGGATAGAGTGCATCAGAAATTAAAGATAATGTGAACAAAGCCCCAGGGCCAGATGGTATTCACAGATATGTCCTCAGGGAGCTTAATGTAGAAATATCCATAACAAGGTTTAAATATTTTTTAGGATTATTTTCTTTCAGGAATTGTAGCAGAGGAATGGAGAAAAGCAGATGTGGTACGTGTATTCAAAAAAGGTTCAAATGCTCAACCCTACAGACCTGGGAGCTTTACATCTGTGATTGGGAAACTATTTGAAGGGCTATTAAGGGATAATATTCAAGAATAGAATTTTGAACAAAAATATCAGCAAGAATCAACATGGTTTTATGAAAGACATTATAGATAACAAACTGAGCAACTATGCTATGCTAAACTGATCTTACAAAAGTTAGTATGGTGTCTTCATGTATAAAAAGGGGTATTGTTTCATATGATCCAGATATAATTTTGCTTCTTTATAAATCCATAGCAAGGCCCCACCTTGAATATGAAATGCAGTTTTGGGCATCAGTTTTAACCCCTTAAGGACCAAACTTCTGGATTAAAAGGGAATCATGACATGTCACACATGTCATGTGTCCTTAAGGGGTTAAAGAAGGAGATTGAAAACTAGAATAAGTGCTGAGGCGAACTGGAAAACTAGCAAGGGGGATGGAAAACATTAGTTATGCAGAAAGACTAGTAAAACGGAATTTGTGTTCTTTAGAAAAAAAGGTGCCTCGGACAGTATATAATAGCTTTGTATAAATATATACAGGGTCAGTACAAACTGCTTTGTGCTAACCTGCTTATTAGCAGGAATATACAACAGACAAGTGGTCAGAGATTGAGACTGGAAGAAAGGAGTTTTAACTTACAGCAGAGGAAAGAGTTCTTTATAGTGTGAACAATAAAGATGCCACAAAATGTTGTCTTATCAGATTCTATAGATATTTAGGAAAGGTGTGAATGCTTTTTTTTCCATGAAAATAATATTCAAGGATATAACTGAAGATAAATATGAGTGCCATTATGGCATCATAAAGGATGTTTTCATTTTTTTGTGGCATAACTGGAAATGGCTGCAATTGGCTTATTTTGTGTTCTTTCTGATAGACATCATAAAAGAATGGGCTCAACGGATGAACTTGATGGGCTTTAATCAATTTAGGGACAGCGAGAGGGAGAGAGAGACTGCTGAGGGAATGCAAATTTACCCCAGAATAATGTCTCAGAATATACAATGTTTCAGAACCAACAAAGGTGTAAAAATAGCAGTTCTGCTGGTTCCAGGGTGAATATATTCATTGTTAAATATAAATAGCAAGAAATAATGCAGGACTATATTGTATATTAAATAAATAGGATTATATTGTATATTAAATAAATAAGTAGGATTGTACTGCATAATAAATACATAAATAGGATTATATTATATATTTAATACATACATAGGGTTATAGTGTATATTAAATATATAAATATGATTATATTGTATATTAAATAAATATATACGATTATATTTTTATTAAATACATAAATAAATAGGATTATATTGTATATAAAATAAGTAAATAAATAGGATTATATTGTATATTAAATATATAGATAAATACATAGGATTATATTGTATAATAAATAAACGAATCAATAAATAAATCAATAGGATTATATTATATATTAAATAAATAAATAGGATTAAATTGTATATTAAATCAATAAATAGGATTAAATTGTATATTAAATCAATAAATAAATAGGATTATATTGTATATTAAATATATAGATAAATAAATACATAGGATTATATTGTATAATAAATAAATGAATCAATCAATAAATAAATAGGATTATATTATATATTAAATAAATAAATAGGATTATATTGTATATTAAATAATATGAGAAAGGTGTGAGAGAGTAAAGAAATGTGCAGTTTATGGCCGATATACAGAGGGTAGAGAGAATGATGATGGCTCCTATCAATTCATGCAGAAAATGAACTCAGTCATAATGTTTCCCACATACAATACAAGTGACAGCAATGAATAAAAACAGTCAGATATCTGGTTTGTGATTATTTGTATAGAACCCAATGGGGTTTAGGGGTGCACTAACATGTGAAAATGATGTTTGTGTGTGCATTGCACGAGTGCTGTTTGGTTCGGAGCAAAACTATTCTCATCCAAATTCATCTGAATATGGCAATCCGGAAGCCTCCAAATTTCCAAACTGATGGAAAATTAGACAAAACAAACGTAACCGTAACGAATCAAAACTAACATTTTCCGATCCATCCATTTTGATAAGGATAGCAAGTTAGGTATTAAACAGCTGATAGATCAAAATTAAGAAATTGGCTTTTTTAAATTTTGACCTTTTAGCAGTTTAGCAGATGGCTCTTTAAATTGGTACTTTGTAACTTTATGTTTGCCACGTTCATTTTTTTCCCCATATGGAATTCGGAGTTTTGAAAGAGAACAACATTTTCAGATGAAATCCGCTAAGTTTGAATCAGTATTTTCAAATTTTAGACAAACAGAAATTCAAAAATTAAAGAATAAAAAAAATATTTTCTCCGCGTACATCTCTAGTGTGCACTAAAGCTCCCGTAGAGTAAGTACAGTTACAGAAAGTTAATATAGTACACGGGCATTGTATTCCTGTATTGTACTTGGTGTATGTACACAGAGCAAGATTATAAATACAATGTATATTTACTGGCTTAGTGACCTGGCTTTATATAAATTATAAATACCCCATGGAGGCTGAGAGCGAGATTATAAATACCCTTTATAATTTACCACCTTAGTGACCTGGCTTTATATCAATTATGAATACCCTACAGGGACTAAGAGCTGTATGTTAATACCCCATAATAACTTATAAAAATCAGAGACTATAAATACCCTTTATAACTTACCAGTTCGCTATATAAATTATAAATACCAGAGACTATAGATACCTTTTATAACTTACCGGCTGTGTTGTCTGGCTATGGGTAAATCCCAGCAGTAAGAATACAAAGTAGATCATCTTCTCCTGTCCGTCTGTCCTCCTCTTCTGTACATTGTTGACTTCACTGTTTGTAAATAAAGGCATTTTTCTGACCGTTCCTCCTACTTTTCATTTCCTTTTTATCTGGGTAATCTTGAATCTTGCTCAAATTAATTTAAATAGTTGAGGATATTAAAGGATCACTATAGGGTCAGGAACACAAATATGTATTCCTGACCCTATAGTATTAACACCACCATCTAGCCCCCCTGGGTCCCTCATGCCTCCATAAATATAGTAAAAATCTTACTGTATTCAAGCCAGAAGCTGTAAATCTGCATGCAGTTAGTCTCAGAAAAACAAGCAGTCTGCTGACATGTGGTAGCCTGATCCAATCACAGTGCTTCCCCATAGGATTGGCTGAGGCTGACTAAGAGGCAGACCAGGGGCAGAGCCAGCATGATTCAAACAAAGCCCTGGCCAATCAGCATCTCCTCATAGAGATGAATTGAATCAATGAATCTCCATGAGGAAAGTTCAGTGCCCGCATGCCGAGGGAGGAGATACTGAATCACAGGATGCTGTGCACAGTGCTGCCCTCTGCTCTGCTGACAGCAGATTTCAGTGGATGGAGGCGTATTGTTTAGAAATGGGGAAATCGTGGAGCGTAGGAACATTCTTGTAATGACATTCATGAGATATGAGTGAGTACAGTACAGCAAGAACATTTTATATGGATATACTTTAATAAATCTTAACTCTAATGGAGTTTATGAAGGAGAAACCATTTTTACAGATAATAAAATACTTTGCTGGAGGGAAGTAATAAAAAGTAAGGTGATGTAAACTTGATGAAAAAGTGATTATTATCTTAATAGAAGGAGCTCCTGCTATCAGAAGGTTTCCACAATACGGATTAGTAGGACATGTGTTCGCACAACCAGGAAAATGTCAGCCAGTCCTATAGACAGGATTCCGAGTTATCACGCTATGAATATTTGGACAACATTGACAGATGTTATTGGGAAGTATTGGATTGACAGCTGGGTGGGTATTGAAAAGGAAAATAAAGTACATTTTCTAGATATAAATAAAGTACATTTTCTAGATATAAAACTTTTCAGTAAACATTACTGAGAATGGAAAAATAAAATATAAATATTAATTGAAAATGTAAAATAATATTTGTATCATTGCAGCTTTCTATCAGAGTAAGAATTATGGTAAAATAATAATATAGAGGAAAGCACTTACCTAGTATGTAGGTGTTAAACCTTCTGGGACTGCAAAATCACACCACCTCCGCTACCTGCCAGTCATCCAATTCCAAAAAACACCAAATGTCCGGCACTCCTTGATGTATATTAAGATCTTTTTATTGGCACAAAAAATATCATCAATGTTCCGACAGTTTGAAAAACAAAGTTTCTATTGAAACGTTGCTGCCAATAAAGGGAGCTTAACACACATCAAGCACTGCTGGACATTGGTGATTTTGGTATTTGCAAAGATTATGGTGTAAAAATCAATGCCGCTCTAAGCACCTCATATAAAGCGATGTCACCGCAGAATTTTACTTCCTCCTTTGTCTGGTCACCAGTGAAGGTTCGCTCTCAAATTTCACCACAATTGTCATAAATTTGGTTTCAGGACTGTTGGAAGAAGTTGATAGCCGGGACTTGTGCTGCTTGCAGTGTTCTGAGCCTTGAAATTAAGTTGATGAAGAGGTATGTTGGCATTATCATTTACTAGTAAGAAATGATTTTCATTCTCAATGCGGCTGTAGCAAATGGAATTAATGTCCATCGGTCAGATTTGATGTTGGGAAGTTTCGCTGACCAATTGTTACCATTGTTTCTGTCACTGACCCTAGCAACTAATGGCTATTTACCAACTGCAAAATTTCACTATTAGCGACTGGTAATTACTGAACAAATAACTGTTAATGGTTCCTATAAAGAATAACAGGAGCTGTTTGCCCTTGTCGCTATGTTTTATGGGCAGCTGCTATCCTGACTTTAGTTGGTTGAAGCACCGTGAACTCAAGTAACAACAGAATATCACCCTCATCCACAGCAATGTGATGATTGCTATGTGGTGATATCAATATTTTTGGATGAAAGATCTCTACATTGGTTTGCTGCTACTCTGTCCAATTACCACTTGAAATGTAGACATGCCTTCTAACTTCATGCTCTTGTAAGTGTATTTTTAACAATAAATTGTGGAAATTTTACAGTGTTGCACCATTTTGGTCTTACTATTTGATGAGTGGAATTAGCTCTGACATAATAATGTGAGAGCTGGGAATATTAGATGTGTGCAGAATTTAGTTGTTTGGCTTGGCAGAACTTCAGTACCAACAAAAAAAGAGAGGTCCAATTCCTGTCCAATTAGCCTCTGTCGGCTACTATCCTCACCTTCCTCCCTGCTCTGCCTAAGGGTGGTGGTTGGAGTAGCGAAGGATGCAGGAAGTAAGTGCACATTAGCTGCCTGTTCTCTCCAAAGTCTCCTCTTCTAATTCCTCTGGCTTATCATACTCACAGTCGAGTAAATTCTATGCCAGAGGTAAAAGTCCTATGTCTGCAGTGGTGGGGGAAGCCACACCGCAAGACTCAGGCAGGCAAGGAGAAACAACTACATTGAAACCACAAGCACCACCAAACTCTTTTAAAATACTATTTTACTCTCCAAAGATTTAAAAACATAAAAGGTCTTTCACACTTAGTGCAGGGACGGTTCACTTGTGCAGTAAACGGCAGCCATGCACAGCCACGATCAAATGTGGTCGGATTCCGTTGATCCAAATGATTCAGTATAATTTCTTTATAAACATTCAGAAAATCACTAATATTTGCATGTGAATCAATATAAAGCACTAGACATTTGCACCAGGGAAATTTTCATTTTGTATGAATGAATTTGTACTAAACAAAAATGTCATTAATCCATTACGAATTTAGTCCGTAAAACATTTGTTTTTCTGACAAAATTCGGTAAAAAATAATTAGTTTTCGTCCATTAGGACTAAAATAACACTGTGCATGCGACAAAAAAAAAAGCAAGGAGGGAGCCGGCAGTGCTACCAGCTCTCTCCTTTTAATAAATATTAACAATTCCTACACCCCCCTGCATTAAAACCTATGGGGGTCACTATTGAGACCTCGGGGGACATAAGGTACCCCCCCCCCCCCAATTTATTTATTTAATAAGGTTCCCACCTGCCGCTCATGGGTGAGGACCTGGGGGGAAGATTAGGTCCCCCCCATTATTTAATTATTTAAGGTCCCCACCTGCCTGTAGCGGATTGCATTGGGCTGTCTGCTAAAATTGTGTGTTAAAATGTGCTTTCGTTAATTTCCTGCTATGTGTATTCCTATTGTATGCAGCATTTGACTGATTGTTCAGTGAAATCACTCTATTCATCATACAAATGAAACTACTGAACAATCAGACCACCCTAGGGATAAGTGTGCCTCTCGTTCACCCCCTTGATTCATTGTAACCATCAGCTAATTGGCAATTGAGTATCCCAAAGTGTGGGCTCGCTGGGTGGCCGCTGTTCGGCATATGAACATGTGGCGGCAGCCATTTTACATATGAACGCTTAGCAGTGTTTGGTCGTCGACTGTCTGGAACACAAATCGGACACTTGTTTCCCCGAACACCGCTAAGACCTCCGGGGCTCCAAATGAATCTTCCGAGCAAGGGGATTCAGCTGAACCCCAGCTCAGCCCTGGATGGCAGGGATTTTCGTGATTTTTATGTACCAAACAAAGACCGACCGCAAGGCCCAAACTTATGGAACTGCTTTCGGCTACTGCCTCGTGTGCGGTCGGTCAAATCTCTACTTCCACATAACTCCCGAACCCCTGGTCCGATCTGAGTGATTTTTGAACACGTTGCTCACCCAGATCAGCGCTATCAGGGGATATAAAATGTATCACTGTATCTTGCATATTTGGGGTACATCTGAAAACCAGGTAAAATCCTATTCTGTATAAATGGATTATGTGTCATCCTAAGGGGAGGAGATGTATGGGAGGTAACATATACACGATTGGTTACTGTACTAATTATTGTGGGTGTCTCCAGGGCCGGACTGGGGATTCCAAACAGCCCTGGAAAAAAAATCTATGCCAGCCCCATAAGTCATTGCGCCATATATTGTCGCGTGTAATATGTAAGGCTATGTCTTGCCACCCTAGATGATTGATATATATATTGCTTTTTCCAATATAAAATATTGGTCCTTTCAGAGTAACATTTTTAATTATACAGTAAGCATACTCACATGCAGACACAGACAATCTCACTGACACAAGCTGATTGATAAACAGCCTCATAGACAAACAATCTCACTGATCTACATAAGGTCATTGACATAAAAACACTAGCTCACTCAGTAGCAGGCACGCACACATGCGCGCGCACACACACACACGCGCGCACACACACACAGCTTAATGTAGTGGTTCTGGGGTCTATAGCCTGTCCCTGCAGACTTTTCAATGTAAACACTGACTTTTTAGAGAAAAGGCAGTGTTTACATTGCTTCCTAGTGACAGACACTCAGACAGTCACTAGAGGTGATTCCTGTGTCAGTGTGGATTGGCAGAGATATCAAGCTTGATGATCTCAGCCATAGAGGCAGGGCCAGTCGAGGGGAGACCAGCACGACGTGGGAGGGGAAAAGGTGAGTAAAAACACACATACCATGACAGACACACACCATGACACAGACAGACCATGACACAGACACACACACCGTGACACAGACAGAAACACAGACACACCATGACAAAGACAGACACACACCATGACAGAGACACACACATACCATGACAGACACACACACATACCATGACAGACATACACCATGACACAGACAGACTGTGACACAGACACACACACACCGTGACACAGACAGAAACACAGACACACCATGACAAAGACAGACACACACCATGACAGAGACACACACATACCATGACAGACACACACACAATACATGACAGAAGAACACCATAACACAGACA